CAAGACTACATGTTTGATTCCTAAAAATTTTGAGTTGCTTTCTATTTTGATCATTCTTTACTTTTTAACCTTGAACTCGGCGCATAGATACTATTGCACGCGCAATGTCTATTTATGAAAACTATTAATATTAGTTGGAAAGATATGGATAATATTGTTCTATAATTGACAAAGATTACATAACCTTGAAGAATATGCATATGTAGAAATTCATACATAAGCATAAATGGAATAAAATCACTCAGATACAAGTAAAAATCTTAGAGGTATATTCATTTTGAAATTGAATAAAGAAATCTTAGATAGTGATTGTTAGAAAGTAAACATTGAGATGGACGATATTGAGTTTAATTAATAGGTAGTCATTTAAGTGTTAACTCAATCATTCTTCGTCTAATACTCTCTCAGTTTAATTAATAGGTAGTCATTTAAGTGTTAACTCAATCATTCTTCGTCTAATACTCTCTCTCTCTCTTTGGTGCAGATGAAAATTATGTTGAGGTCAGGAGAAATTAGCTCGCATGCGTGGGAATTGGCTAATTTTAAGATCGCTTTACGAATCTAACAATAAGATATTAATACTTCTTAATTAAGTATAGAGTCAATAAGATACTAATTTTTTTAATTAAGTCATCTTCCTCTACTCCAAGAAAACCATAAGAATGGCCTTTGTGAACTTCTTAAACACCATGAAGCGCCAGCTTCGTAGCGTATTGATGAGTATTGATACTTTCTTATTGCTAAGAAATTAGAGGTAATTTTGAAGGTGATGGCAGTCTTGGTGGCTCCATTTGGAGCTTGACAACAGATATAATTGCACATGACACAACAACACAATGTATGTCTATCATCAGATATAATTACATACTGAATTATTGCTAGAAGAGCATGGATAACGGTCTCGTGTTCACAGTATCATCTTCAAAAGTAGCATAGTCAATCATCAGTAGAAGTACATGGAACTATATTTGGTCACTTAATCACCCATTATAGGTGATATCATCGAGATTTGAATGTTTGGAGAAATATTAATTCTTACATCTTGCAAATAGGTTTTGGTATGAACTTAGTTGCAGTGGTGAATTCTTTTAAAGATTTTTTTTATTTTCATTTTTAATTTTTTCCGTATTAATTATCAAGTTAAGAGAATAACATGTAGTTGATTAACTACAATTTGTTGATATGGTCATGTGAGTATAAATTTGTGACATATACAAGTAATTAGGAGAAATTAGCTCTTGTTGATAGATTTTTTTCCCTCGCATCAATTTATAATTATAAACTTTTAAATTTGTTTAATTTGTCGATTCATTAACACACCCATATGTTGATTAACATGGTTGTTCTCTCAGAGAAAATCTTTAAAATAATAAGTGAGTACCTACTATTTCACTTTGACATCTCAAAGTTTACCAATTTTTAACTTTAAAACCCCCAAAGTACTTTTTTCAATATTTTGATATCTCACTGTTTTAATCGTATTTTAGTTTCATAACCCCAAAGTACTTTTTAACACTATGATATCCCAAGGTTTCTATCTCCTTTAACTTTGATACCTACACCTAGATCTATTAGATTTTTTTGTTAATTTTCTACTGCTGTTTTAGCAACTGGGCAAACTGAATCTAAATGTATCAGATGCTAAAGGCACCATACAAATTAAACAAAAGATCTAACACAACTTGGATAGGGTATCAGAGTGAAATATGATTGGAACTTTGGATATTAAAATGTTACATGAATACTTTGGGTATCGAAGTAAAATTGGATTCAAAGTTTGGGGTATCAAAGTGTTAAGAAATCCTTCAGCCTATTGAAGTAGAAAGATGTAAACTTTAGGATATCAAAGTGAAAATTATCATTTTCGTTTTAGCTCATCCTCTTATAATATTGCAAGTTTAAGGATTATTCCGTATTTAACAAGCAATTTTTCCTCTCTGCAAATGTATCCTCTAGCAATATTGTTTTCAAGGTTGATCTTTGAACTAGCATGTTTTTGTTTTTTCTTTCTTTGTATAGGTTGTGTAGCTTGAATAAGAAGCCCACTCTCATCTTAGGGATGTAATGTTAGTTCATTATGGATGTAGCTAACATTGAATAAATCTAAACCATATTTGTGTGTAGTTGCTTAATTTGTGTGTAGTTGCATAATTATTTTTTTAGGTAAATGTTAGTTCATTGTGAGATTTTTGTTGTTTGATTTGTTTCTTTTTTTGTAGTTGTTGCATTTTTGGTGAATTTGCCCATTTATGTTTGTTTTCTGTGAAGATTGTGGTGAAGGCGATGCTGATAATAGACTCTTGTATAAGCATGATGCTTGTACTATTATTGTAGAGTTAATCTCTACTCTATGTGAAGTATAAGTGCGTGCTTCATAAAAATATTAATATTGATGTATGCAGCATTAGTTGACCTTCAGAGGTTTCCCCCATAGAGTTCCTAACATGCATCACGTGCAACGCACGTTTTGCATACTAGTTAATATAAAACTATAAATTAAATGAGTTTCTATGTTTTGCAGATAACTCTCATGCCAACATAAGTCCACATTTTTGCATTGCGCATTAGCAACAGCTTTTAGATCTTATGTGTGGACTGACACTATCATGAAGATTATCTACAAAATGATGAAACTTATTGCAGGTTTTCTGCAATTCTGATAGTTATGTGGGTTTTGTGCAATTTTTGAAGTTAATGGGAGTTTACTGTAAAATACTGAAAGTTATTGAGGATTTAACTTACCCTTTTAAAAATAATATTAGAAATCCTAAATCAAAGGTAACTTGAGTAAATTTGAAGAAATTACAATAACCTATGAGTAATGATGTCACGGCCCGAAATAGCTGCAGAAGATATACATGTGGTACATCACAGCAGTAACCCTTACACAACACAAGTCTCACGCATGTGTAAGCCTGACACTTCATATCACATAGCTTTTTATAAAAACATACTACCTACTGAAGTTGAAGTTCAGAGCAAATTATATAAAAAACCAATACTTTCAATCTAAAAAATCACCATCATGAGTATTCATATAACCCAAAATATGTTGTTCATCTATACACCAAGCAAAAGAGATGTTTTTTTTCATATAACACCTCCTAGCAACACGCCAAATCCGAAAGTCCAACTTGTACATGAACCTACATGTAATACAAAAAAAATAAAAAATGGCCGGTGAGCTAAAAGCTCAGTGAGAATATTTCCCACTAGAGTTCTAGATATCTAACAAAATAATAATTCTCAAAAGTAGCGAATTATAGGTTTTGCATCTGAAATTCTGAGATGATAAAGTATTGTGTAAAAAAACACATTATTAGTATTTTCAAGAAAGAATGTAAAAATTTAAAACTCTTTAATATTTGCAAACTGAATACACTATCATAGATGCCTCAATCAGACTTTTTGAAATCAAGATAAATACTAAGAAAGGAAACATACTGTTAAGTTTTGTGCAAAACTAAAAGATTACCATTTTCTCAAATTCATAGTGAATGTTAGAATCTCAAATCTCAATGAGTTAGTCAAGTAGTTGCAAGAATCACCTCATAGGTCACACTAAGACTATGAATATTATAGCCCAATAGCATGTGTATGCGTAAAATGCATCATAGAATAGATAATTCTCGAGAATAGAATGCATCTAACACCGTCATAAGCTGCCAGCCATTTAAAAAAATGCTCAAATAGGCAAGAATAAATTTAGAATTACCTAAAAAGGGCTAGATAAATATGCATTCACCATATGACATGCACAGACATAACACTCCATAGTGGACTTTCTGAGGGTTTTGAAAATATCGAGAATCACTTGGCAAATAAAAACATATTACCTATCAGAACCATAAACACTTCGAATCGGATAGACAAGTGTAAAACTCATCATTACAATTAAATCAGTTTATGAAATTTACTTTTATTTATTTGTATCCAATGCCAAATTACGAAAAAATTTCTTGAATCCGTTAAATTGTTGAAACACATTCAAAACATTTCTTTCTTTACTAGCTTTCAATAAAAGCAATGTCCGCAATTAGTTGAGATCGCATGAGAACCAAAATCGCTCATCACATTTTATATTAAATCAAATTTACTTGTAATTTATCATATGAATCAAAATCATACTATCAGTTAGACCACAACAGAATAGATCAAGTAACATTTCATTATATATGCATGAAAAATGATAGAATAATTACCTCTCTAGCAAAAGATCAATCAAATACAATACGCATGAGATTTTTAAAAATACTAGTAAGAAATGAACTCACCTCTAGCGGATACAAACCCCCAAAAATTTGATCCCTCTTAATATCAACTAGATCCCATAGTGTAAAGTTATAAGGTCAATACCAAATTAATAAAAGTTATATTAATCACTCCATAATTTATGTCCAAAAAGGATCAAATAGTAATTAAGACCCATGAAAAGGTTTCACATAGATTCATGACTAACTTTAGCAATTTATCAAAAATTTATAACATTTTCTAGCAATTTTTCACTTGTTAACAATTTATGGAAACTTCAGGCGGTTAAATACAACTATTCATGCCTGTCTGTGATCCTGCTTTTCCTAGATTGGACCTGTTTGCAAATTCTGAAAAGAATAGGGGTCCGAACAAACTTTTTCCTCCCAATTATAACTCGGTTTCACAGTATTTGGACAAGTCCACGATTTCGGTGAATTTAGGGATCTGGAGGTAATTTTTTCTCAGTCCAAAACCAATATCCCTTTACTCAATCGTATATATTAGTAAGGTCTAATTGACTTAGGAACCAAAAAATAATTTTCCTCTCCCCCTATTTCTGGTCTCTCCTCTGTACACGATCATCTTTTTCCTCTTTTCTTTCTTTTTTCCCCGCTCGTTTTTTTTTCCTTCTTCTTTTTGGTAGCCACACAGACCGAGCTCCCCTATAGTTTATGATTTGCATAAAGGTTCTTACTTCACAATTATTTTATCTTTTAATAGTTCATTTAGTAAAATAGGTTGTCATCTTATATTCATTTTTTTTCATATTACAGTCGATTGTACATACGATTCTCCATACCATTTTTTGCATGAACATTATTGAGATGTTGATTATCCCTCCACATATCCATCCAATCCTCAATTAAATTTGGAGCAAACTCGCCTAATCTCCCCCTCTTCGCCCACCTTCACACCAATCATACCCATTTTCACAATTGACCGCACAAAATCCGACCCGAACTCGAATTCGGATCCGGACCTGGGCAACCCAACATAGGAGTCAATAACCGCTTTCATTGACGGGACGGTATATAACTTAGCATCGGTTTCTATGACCGCGAACCCCGTCCGGATGTTCTTGAGGATCTTGGTATCGAACCTCCGCTCGCTGCCGTGATCGAGAGGGACCCGAACCAAAATGTCGCCGCCCTTCGGGCACTTGGATTGGAGCTCCGGCAAGAATCTCGGGTTTATTAGCGGTCGGGCCTGCCGCCCGGTAAGAAGTCGTAGAGCCTCCGTTCTAGGAAGAAGCATGCAGTAGTGCCAATAGTATGTGCAGCTGGATACGGAGAAATATTCACTCGGGGTTAGAAAACCAAGTAGAAACTGGGAATCACATTTTTACCCTTCTGAATACCAACTTAGCTTACCAGGACTCTCATCAAAACTAGTGAAGGGGAAAAGGCGAGTAAAATGCTTAGAATGTGAAAAACCTACACAATCTGTACAATTGTAGAGCTTACTTAAGCGCATAAAGTGCGGAGAGATTCAATCTTTTATGCATTTGTGTAACAACTAAGTGCAATGCGCTAATATGATGTTAGTTACATTCGATTTATATCTCAATGGTAAGCAATGCGGTGTGAGTAGTCGGCGGATGGTTTTGTCACTGAAAGGGTTTCGATTCGCTTTGGCACAAATCCAAGCTTTAAAGCATACTGGGAACATCGTTGATCTAAATCCTATAGTGAGATTATGGTGATTTTAGATGTGTGTAATGTCAGCGATACACTGATCAAGGCCCGTGAAGGGACACAACGGCTGATTGAATCGTTTGGGCTGTTCTATCCAACAGGCCTGTAGAAGTTGGGCCGATATACTTCACCAATGAAAAGATTAAAAAAAGGACAAATTTTCAAAACCAACCTATTTACAAATTTAATCGCAGAAAACAACCCATTTCAAATTTAATTGCAAAAACCGACCTGGTTTCAGCCTTGACACTGAAACCAGGTCGGTTTTTGTGAAAAAACTTTCGAAACTTCACGGGAATTGAACTCCCGTGAAGTTTCCCAGTACAAAAAAAAATTTAAACTACGAAACTTCACGGGAGTTCAACTCCCGTGAAGTTTCGGATAAAAATTTTCAAAAACCGACCTGGTTTTTGCTCCAGGGCTAAAACCTCGGTTTTTGCAATTAAATTTGAAATGGGTTGTTTTCTGCGATTAAATTTGTAAATAGGTTGGTTTTGAAAATTTGTCCTTAAATTTTTTTTTTTAAAGAAACAACAACGTTTTCTGGAGTGATTTACCACTGAGAAGCACGAGATCCTTCTCCGATAATCCCTTTTCGGCAAACTTTGCTCTGATCAATGCAATCGAGTCCTGCAGATCCGGCATGCTTGCCGCATCGGCGACGTTGGAGACCAGGCCATCTCTTCGGCCCGTTGGAACTCGATAAAATGGGCCTTGGCTCTGCAATGGTGGATTAAACTCTCACGTTTTAGCTACTAACCATTATCATTGACAATGAGTTGGTTAATTTCACAAAAGTAACATGAAGTTCTGGGTGGTTAAGCGCAAATTACCATAAACGTATTTTTATTTGAAAGCTCTTACTGAACTTTCAATTTCAGATAAATGCCGTGAAATATTCGAAAGTTATTGTCGACCACTTACGTCGTTCGGATGAAAGGTCTCAACTACCCTTTAAAGTATGTAAAGAAAAAGATGCTCAAAAAATGACATAACCGTCGATAAACATATGGTAATTTCGTGAGGGAAAAAAAAAAGTTCATGACAGTTTCTCTAATAAAAAAATTTTCAGGTAGTTTTGTGCAAAACCCCCCAAAATTAATGGAAGTTTGTTGAAATTTACTTTTAAAATAATTGATCAAAAAAATTATCGGAGAAGTAAGGTGAGGATTTTAGTACCAAGGCTATGGCATCTCTAGCAGCGAGAGCTACAATATCAGCACAGGAAACTACGCCAGGACATTGGGCTTCAAGTTGGGCTTTTGCGTTCTCTATAACGTCGAATCCTCTGAGCCCAGCGTGGTTCGGTGAGCTATTCTCTGGGCCTTGGTCTCTGGGCTTCTGGATCAGCACTGATCCATCACAACCCTGCATGATATTGACAAATCTTAGATGTAAAATGAAATATTTTTGTGAGTAAATGACATGTTTAAGGGATTTATTAACTAGACAAAAATAACTGAAGATATGAATAGACAGACTCAGAAAAAGTAAGTACAAGATGAATGGGTAAGACTAAAGAACAACCTAAATCTAAATTAAACCGGGATAGACAACTGATTTAGAGTATGACACCTAAATTCAAAAACCAATACTAACCTTTTCGTACTTTTTCCCAAGTCAGGACATCTTATTTACACAAAAAAATTGTCAGGACTATATAAATCAAAATTAATGACTAAATTTTTATATTGCGAGTCTAATTAGAACAGTGATTTCTCCATTGCTTTTGAAAGTGGGGAGAATCCATCTCGGGTTCATACCTCTATAGTTGTGCTTCAAGGATTTTCTACTCTTCAACGAGTGTAAAAATAAGAGCTTTCGAGATTGGAGGGGTTTCCTCCTCTTGGTAAGACAGTTGGGCTTTAACATGAAGTCAACCCAACTCAGACTCAAATTTCACGGATCATATATTTAAATGGGTTAAATAATAATATTGTGTAACTTCACATATATTTCGGTCCAAAATGCCCGAAACCTACGGGACATGTTGTATTATAAAATCATAACTTTCAGCCCTTGTCACAACTTCACAGTTTTAGTCTCACAACTTTGAAATTTTAGCCAAGTATAATTAAATAACTTTCATCGCCTGTAGTTTTTTATAAATTGAGTTTTGGAAAATGAATTAAAAATAAAAAAATCATCAAAGCAAAGTAGAGAGAGAGAGAGATCTCACTTGAACAATACAATCATGGTAATGAAGCCTGAGGAGGGCAGCCGGCATCGTCGGATCCAACCTAGCAGCCTCCTTAACGACTGACCTCACGATGAGCTCAGCTCTTGGGCATGTAAACGAGTAGAAACCCACATCAAGAAAACCAAGAGAAGTCCCCAGCAATTGCATGCACAAAATTAGCCCAAAGTTCTCTACTGAACTTGACCAAGACATGGGTTCGACAAAGAGGAGAGATCAAAGAGAGGAGTTTAAGGCACTCAGTTCAAAGCAGCGGTTACAATTTATAGTATCATTTGGAATACAGTGCAAATGTGTCACAAACTTCCATCGTAAGGGGGAGAGTAGAGCAAGTGGCAAGCAGTAATGTTTGTGAGTAGAGCAAGTGGCAAGCAGTAATATACAAACATTTTCCATGAAAAGGTAATAATATTTGGATGCGTTTTCTTTTGCACTCTCTGCATCCAAATTGGTGAGCTTACCCGTGAACATTTCCTTAAGTTAGATGAAACCACGTGAATTTTTTCTTAAAATTAATTTAGAAAGTGATGGAAGGTGGAGAATGGTCAAAGTTTAATTAATCATGCATTTTATTTACACAATTTTAGGGACTAAGGCTCTTTAATGTGCCCCCCTGAATATCCTACCTTCTTGATTGCACATTAATCCTACGAACGTAAAAGAAGCAAAAAAAAATATTAGTATCATCTCTTTATGCGCATCACATGTGTTCATAATATTGTGTTAGTAGTAAGTTTAGTCTCACATTAGTTACGAGGACAAACCTCACCCTCCTCTGCTTGTATATCTATATATATACACATTCAATATTCAATTCAAAAGAAATTTACCCAAGACTCTCACTCTCTCTCTCACTTTAACATGGTATCAGAGTTTGGTTTAGGGTTTCCCAAATAGTAAAAAATTTCCAAATAATTAAAATTTTCCCTTCTGTCGTTCTATATATATACACATTCAATATTCAATTCAAAAGAAATTTACCCAAGACTCTCACTCTCTCTCTCACTTTAACATGGTATCAGAGTTTGGTTTAGGGTTTCCCAAATAGTAAAAAATTTCCAAATAATTAAAATTTTCCCTTCTGTCGTTGCAGATCTCGGTGGAGATATGCTCAATCCCACAATCTTCACCGTAGGAGATCTGATTGGCCACCACGATCTCTGACCCCAAATTATCACCGCGATTTTTTGACACGATCTCCGCGAATTGAGAGCGATTTAATTGGAGATTTTGTTGAAATTTATATAACCATATATATATATATTTATATATATATATATATAGATATATATATATAATGAATTTATTTTAGGTTCGTGTTCCATTCTAACACTTCACAGTTCTATTTAAACCTACGGTTCCATTGCCTAGACCTTTGGTGTTTTTATCGTCAAATATATATATATATAATATATAATATATATATAATATAATATATAATATATATATATAATATATATATAGTATATAATATATATAATATTGTTCCGCGGAAATTCGTTGGCTTTTCTTGTTGGATTGATTCCGAATGTCATCTTGAGTTACAACTTTATGAGTTACAATAAAGATCTGGTGCTTTTTATAAGATCCGTTACAACGAAAATCAAAATAAAAATAAACAAAGATACAAATTTCTCCGTTTTGTGTCGAACGAAATCGCGAGCTCCTGTTTTGCGGATCGCATCGCGTTTGGTGGGATTCTGCCTGCGCCGGGTTGTTGCCGTGGACCACCGCAAGATCAGATCCGGTCGATCTACGCAGGTACGACGGTATTATTTCACCAAGGAAATAATAGCTGGGGAGATTGTTTCAACCAAGGAAACAATGCGTCCAGTCTCGGATGCTAAACCAAGCTTAGATCCGGAGTTAATGCCTGCGTAGATCTGAGAATCCCGGTTCCTTCTCGAGACACGCGCTGCCTTAGATTTGACGTTGATCGATCGCCGAGCACAGCAAGATCTGGATGAGCAAGTCCTTGAGGTCCAAAAGCTTGATCTTGTTAAGTTCTGAGTTCTTGAGTTCACAGGGACTTCGCACTCTCCAAAATTTTCTCAACCTCTGAAAATGAGCATCTCTAGGCCTATTTATAGGCTCTCTAAAACATGGCCCAGGCGAGAAAGAACAAATGCTGGCGCACTGTCGAGACACTGTCGGCAACTGTCGGCCGACCAGTCGGCTCGCACCTTTACTGTGGCCCAGGTGCACTTCAGAGGGTGGCCACCCATGGGTGGCCGCCACCCATAAGGTGGCTCGGTCAACACGCACACCATGGGGTGCTCGCCACCCCATGGGGTGCTGTCGGCCCACCCATGGGGTGGCTCGGTGCCGAGCCACCTCCGAGGTGCTGTTGGTCCTCCGAGCCACCCTAGTGCTCGTGCCTGCCGAGCCACCATGGGTGGCTCGGCCACTGCGCCATGGGGTGGCTCGCCGCAGGCCCGAGCACCCGCGTTGGTGAGCTCGGCTTTAGCGAGCCACTCGGGTTTTGGCTTTGGCCGATTTGTCCGGTGTGTGGCGCCCGTTGTGTTGCGTTGTCCAGTTTTGTCCGTGATTCGGATTATTGAGATCTGATTGGTTATGCATGATTTGGCAGTAAGTCTGGAGTCCTGATTTGACAGTAAATCCACTTCTGAGTTAGAAGTACCAAAACCGATCTGATTCGAATCGTGATCTGTCCAAGTATGCCCTTCGGTTGGATGACTTCGTTGAATTCTTGACACTTGTCTTGATTCCCCGAACGCGTATGATGCATTCCATCGCTTGATGGCGATCGTCGATCTCGTCGCCTCGTTGGGTCGTCGGAGTTTATGTGCCGAGCTGACAAAAAGGGAGCATATAAGAGCAATTTTATATGCCTACAGATACCCGCCCTCCAATATTTCAAGGTCTCGTTCTTTTATCAGAAGAGTCTGAATACTTTGGATATGCATGTCCGCAACCTTCAGTCGTGTAATGGGACCTTGGAATGAACTCCGTCTTGATTACCTTCAATCTTCCAGGTTATCGTGGGCTTTGTCGAATGAGCTGTAAGAGTTCCGCGGTGCTGCAGTTATTGTCTGACAGCAGTTGTCGGAAATTTGAACTTGAAGTCAAATTCTGATTCGAGTCTTAGCTCTAGAACTACCATCGAATTGACTGGCGTTGAGTCTTTATTTGTGACGCGTTGTCCGGCGATCCAGGCTCTCTTTACAACCGCTGTGCGCAGGCGTTTGTGTGTGAGTTATCCTTAAAAGATATTTTTTTAGATAAAAATACTCTCCAGAAACTTCTGACAACCAAAATTATGGAAGCAGTTTATACTCATGATAACCTTATGGAGTAAGAAGAACAGTTTATATCTCGATACTTTTCGGAGTATATTAAGAAGCAAGTTTATACTCGTAGTACTTTCGACGTAAGAAGCAGTTTTATACTCGTATACTTTTCGAGTATTGGCAACGCATTGAAATAGACTTGAACTCTATAGGGCTTCGCCCGTTGTCCGCGATTGACCTTAGGTTTCGGACGCCTCGATCGTTGAATTTTGCTCGCAAACGCGTTGACGGCGTTGTAACGTCCTAGGTTATACGTAAACGCGGCCGTTAACCAGGGTTTCGAACGTCGTTGGATCCAGGTCACGCAGACCAACCTAATGAAGCTGATAGCGTCAGTAGACCCCGATGTAAGGATTTTTGGCAAACCTCAAAGCCATCACGCGGGTTTGAAGAAGCCCTGTTACCAGACTAACCGTTTAGTCGGGCTAGCAGCCGGAATGTTTAAGTCCGTTCCGCATGTACGTTACGCTAAAAGAGTTAACACCTTTTAGGCTAGCGATATTAAAATATCGTAACCTTCGTCTTTTCTCCTGTGAAAAAGACCTAAACAGCAAACGTGATATCAGATCGTTGACTAGGATTTTTTGCAAATCCTCAGCCTTCAACGATTGACATGCTTTACCGGATTACGCGTTTGAATCGGCTAACATCGAGATTGTCTAAGTCCTCCGCATTGGTACGTTGTGCTAAAGGGAATGAAGCTCACCTTAGACTTGATGCTAACGACTTCGAAATACGTAGACTTCGTCTTCTCACGGAAAGACTATACCGCGGCGATCGCGTTTAGGCGTTGACTTAGGATTTTGGCTAACGCCCAGCCTTAAAACGATTTGATATCGCTTTACCGCTACCGTTTGAGTCGGGTTAGCATGCGGATTGCGCAAATCCGTTCCGTAATGCTAACTTGTGCTAAGAGAGTAATCCCTTAAGACTTTGGCTACGGGATCGTTGAATACATAGACTATCGCCATTGTTACTGAATAGCACCCGGCAACAGTGTATTAGACCGGGACATATCCCTACTTTAGGCTTCGATAAAATAACCGTCACCAGACCTGGTATTGCGGTGTCTTTTTCAGATGTAAAAGACTAAACCGCGACATGTTTAGGTGTCGACATATCCTTTCTTTAGGATTCAGGATGATGCCATGTCCCATGCCGTGGTAAGGCAGGATTTTGGTGTTATTAATAAACAACCTTGCCACATTATGTGAATAAGTGACGGTATTCTTTAAACGGATTAAGGAACTAACCATCAATCAGGTTAGCGCAGACTTATCCTTACTAGTGTTAGAAGGAATAGCCGCCCAGATAACGGAACATCTGGTGTCTTTTTGTGCCGAAAACAGACTAAAACCGAGGCAACGCGTGTTACGCGTTGACTTAGTGCCCTACTTACGGACTGGGATAAAATTCCTGTACCTGTGAGGACACAGATTTTGGTTAAAAAAGGTGGTGTCTTCTGCTTGCAAAGGACTGAACCGAATGAAGGATAAGAATTTATATCTATCTCCCGAACATGAAGAAGAAGAATTTTATATCTATCTCAACTGAGAGGAACCTCGAGGCTGGATCTCCACCGCCCAAACCCAGGAAAGTGAAATTGAGAGTGGATCTCCACCTCCCGAAATCGAAAAGATTCGGATAACCCATAACTGTCGCAAGTTTGATTACCGAACTAAAAGATGAATTCTTGTTTATCGAGAGTGAGAATTAGTTTGAACCTAACTGTAGAAAGGTTGGCCAAACAGAGTGTTGAAGCTGACCACTAACGTGTAGGAAGGTGATCAAGTTCGTTCTGAAAGTGACCTCATCGTTCATGTGAGAATCAGAGGGGATTTTGGTTTGTCCTACTGTAGAAAGTTGACCATTGGAGTTGAAAAAG